TGGAGATTCCAAGCAATTGAAGTATGGTGTGCCTTTATTAACTCATTCGCATTGATTCAAGGTGTGAATATGGAAGATCTGTTATTTTCACAAAGAGAATGAAGCTCTTCCACAAGATCAGTCCATTTCCTGGAATTCCCTTTCTCCAAAAGTGCTCTGCAATTGAATATAGGATTCCCTAGCTCTTCAAAACAATGACTTACATTAGAAAAAACTTGACCAGTAAAGAAACTAAAAATTGCTATCTGAGTGAGATTTCTGCAGACAGTATTTGTATACAGAGTATGACTGTATATGATCTGAGATGAATTCAAAATAAAAAAGTGCTCAATATCAAAGTGGATAGAGCAAAATGCATTTCAATAAATGCAGACGCCATTTATAGTTTTACCTAAAGCATTTAAAGCATAAGCAATCATCAAACAAATCAATTATATTCTCACCTAATCTACATATATATTGATACTTACCAATATCAACATCTGTGTGCTTGTGCTCATCATTTACTTCAAAAGCATCAGCAAAGAGCTATCATACTTCTGGTTATCTAAAGTAAATTTACAATGTAATTTGTCATACAGTACCCAACTTGAAACAACATTGACCTTTAGCAGTTTTAATATAAGCAAAAGGTACAAACATGCATGGTAATGTAATGACAGTTTCCTCAGCTGTCTTTTCAGACTACCCATAAGAAACTAAATAGTCAAATCTGCAAAGGACACTGGGCAAAATTGTTTTAGCAATATATGGTTTTAAAGCAGCAACATTGTACTGTAAAGTTTTCATGCACTAAATATATGATTTCATACCATGATGTAGTTTGACATGCATACTACATATTATTTAGCATAAAATTGAAAACAAGAATAATAATCTCAATATACTACAGAAGTTAGTATATTTTAATAGTAAATACAATTATACTAGATATTAACATTACCATTTCGCTTTAGATCTCGACGAATTTCACATTTGTTTGCTCTATTTATGTATTATTTTGTATACTTTCCCATCTGCGCTTCTTGCCGTGACTAAGACGTCCCAGACCTTTGCTGATTGCAAATATTCAAAATGGGCGATTTTAATGGCGGACTAGAAAATTAGACATTTCAAATGTTTATAACTCCCTCGTTATATTATTATTTTTGCTTACATTTTACATTTTATGAAAGCAATAATTGATATGTGTTTAAACTATGGAATGCTAAAATCGATGATTTTTAACGTTAAGTTTTCGTCATAGAAGCACTTTAAATGGTGTAGACAATAAGACATATTTTAGGAGTTATTTGTTTCACTTTTGAGAAGGTACCACAGGATTCACCACAACATTCAAAATAGCATAAAGTGTGAAGTTGACACCAGACTCATTTTAACAAAATTAAAGAACATCAGTTTCAGAACCAAAACAAAAAAAAACATTTTTTGCTACAAAAAAAACAAAAAATACACACGTGTTTGGTGCCGTTGTAAAGACCAAGTTGTTTAGACAACGATTATACTATTTTTATTTTGGTCGAAAGTTTGGAGCAAATCTACAGCCTTTTAAAGACTACTTCCGCTTTTGTCTCTTTACGTTAATTAATTGCGCGATGTTTACAATGCATAAATGTTGAAATCTAAAAAGGCCTAATTTTCAAGAAGTAAACACGCTAGAAAATACTTGTGTTCGGTGACATCCAAAAGTACGTTTTCTGAGGAATTGAAATATATCTTTACTTTTGTGGCCCATTTTTTTTAATGGACTCCGTCGATTTCGACGTATGAGGGTTCCGCGAAGTGGAATATCCTGGTTACTGTTATAGTGAATGCAGCTGACCAGACTACAATCACTCTTACCCTTCACGCAACCACAACGCTGATATCAGCGTGACACAGTGTGACAAGGCTGCAACATTGCAGATACAGGTACAGTCCATCCGAGGACATAGTTTCCACTACCGAATTTCCCTCACATGGCTTTGGTTAACCCGGGCTAGGTTTACAGACACATTACCAAATGTGCCACGAGCTGGGATTGAACCCGCGCCGTCTGGTTTACAGCTCACGCCATTAACCATTCAGCCACTCGCCCTGTTCTACCTTTCACAGCTTGAGAACCTTCACAGTCGACTTTGCATGGCTGTAGATTCGCTCTGTCATAAAGATGCACTCGTTTGCTTAATTCTGTACTGACATAATATTGATTTCGTTTTTTTTGTTATATCCAGAGAAGATTGACATCTTTGGCTTCTTTACTGGGGATAAAATGCTTTGATATAGATTTTCATAGTAGTTTAACTGATGAGGAGGGCATCTGATATCACTAGTGCCATTATAAAGTAATCACCATTTAAGCGAAGAGTGAAGTTATCTGTATTTAGATATTATATTGTAGATTGCTTGTGGGTTGTGTTTTTAAGCCCTTAAACTTTATTAGTTGTGTATGATGGATAAATGTGTTCTTATCTAATTTTTTAACAAATTAGCTCATGAGTATTCAACTAATTCATGTAACTATTCTGTATATGAAGTTCTGCTGCACAAAGTTGTGGAAATCATTCTAATTTGCATTTGCTCATGGCAAATCTCACACGGTCATACTTTGGAAAATGCACATTAAGACTTTGTGACTCAGTTTTATTCAATTTCTTCATAAGTTATATGAACCTACTTCTTAAGGTTTTGCTGCCAGGTTGTAGTTTGTTCTATTTATAGTTACATTATGATTTTTAAATATAATATAGAAAACAGTTTATGTCTGTTAACTATACTATAGTTTACATGCAGATGGACAATACCGCTAAATTAAAAGTTTCTCATTCATTTCCTCTTATAATCTCATAATGCTGCTAATAAATGTTTTATGAGCATTTATCCGCCTCTCACAACTTCATCCGATGTTATGTATCAAGAAGAGGCTTAGCTAGCGACTGAAAAGCTCTCGTTATGTCAATTCAAGGCCATCGAAATATCTCCTTCCTGATTTTCGATTTTTTATAGATTTGCACCACCTTCAGCTTTTGGATATGTTTTAGATAACATAAAAATCTATAAAACGTCGAAGTTTATAAAATTTCTTTGACGTAGTTTTTAAATACTAGGCCAAATGAGATGCCTTAGAAACTTGGTACTTTAATGCTTAGTTTATTATTTAATTTCTGACTGCTCCGCTTTTAATGTAATTTTATGGACAAAATTTATGTCTTGTACAGTCAAGAAATGATTTAATTCATTTCGTAGAAAACGCGAATTAAAACCGTCTTTTAATTTTGTCATTTTGAATGATAAAGTTTAGTCGAGTCTGTTGTGGTGCTGAATGTGGTGCAAGATGCCAAATTCACAAATGTTCTTTGTTCTGCTATGCAAATATTTACTTTAGAGGACAGACACTGCCTAAAAATATTTGCGAACACGCCTTCTGTTTTCATTTATCTTCGTATGCCTTTTGGAAAGATGGCTTGGCTAGATCTCACCATAAATAATTGGTCTGTGCAAATAGTTTTGCTGATTCTCTGTCTAACTTTAGCGTGGAAGGCTCTGAAATGGATGAATTCAACACCAAATATAATCGGAAATCAAAATAGCAGAAGATTGGATTTCGCTGAGAGTATTATGGAAAATTTCTCACGTTCAATGGATGGCTTGTCAAATTTGTCGTGTTGTATAACATTAACATCAAAAGAAAGTTTATCTTTTCAACATGTTCACGATGCTTTAGTATTGTTAGTTAAACGTCAACCAATGTTACGAGCAGTGGTGTCGACAAACAACGACGGAGAACGATATTTTGATATCAGAACTGTAGATGATGCTATTTCATTATTTGATATCACAAAGTCTGATGTTAAAATATCTGAGTGGAAAGATATAGTATTCAAGTACACCTCTACCGTTCATAATTGCTCTTTGTCATGGAAAGCTGTTATACTTCAGGAAGAGTTCGATTCAACAACACAAGAATATTCAAATATGATAATGTTTGCAATGAAGCATTCAATTTTGATGCTATTGCTTGTGTTCATCTCGTTCAGCAATTTCTGAATAACTTGAATGAGATATACAGTGGTGTCACCAATGTGGACAAATATGTAGCAAGTCTGGAACTACTACCTAGCGCACACAACTTGGTAATACATAAAAGCATCGGTCATTCGCTGTTTCATTTCGTTGTTTCACATTTTGGACTTCGTCCAATATTAGAGTTCTTTATGGAAAAAATGATTTTTTACGTTCTTAAGAAGAAACCAATCAACCCATACTACCAAAAGCACCCACCTCCACAACGTAATGACATCCCTTCCGAAAAACCTAACCGGATAAATTTGAGAACATATACAGAGCAAGAAACCAAGTCAATTGTTGACGCATGCAAAGCTAACGGTTGTACAGTAACTGGAGCAATAACGGCTGCAATCCATTTGGCATTCTACGAATTATTAGACGAAAAAGATAAACTGAAAAAAAACACAGAAACAACGTTTGCCATTAACAGTCGGTCCTTTTGTGATCCAAAAGCCCCAGATGACTACCTTGGCTTGTTCCTTTATTCAGTGAATCACTATTTCAAGTATTCCAAAAGTAATCCGGAAAACTTTTGGATTATGGCTAAAGAAAGCACAGCTCAATTGAAAGAGATTGTGAGAAAAAAAGCCTTTGTGAAAGAATTGTCGTTCATGAGCCTTTTTGATACAAACTTGTTGGAAAGGTTGTATTTTCTTAATGATTCTATTTTGAAGGTATGCAGTAATAATCTCTCCAGTTATGGCGTCTTTAAGTTTGATCATCAGAAGAAAGAAGGCCCAATAGTTTACAGCTTGAAAAACTCTTACATATTTCCTGTTGCTCCTGGTTTAGGCACTTTGTTTTTACATTTCCCATACACAATTAATGGAAAGTTAACCTGGATAATACAATCTAGTAGTACATCAATCCCGGATGCCCATGCTCAACAATTCAGCAATTGCTGTTATAACCTTTTAATATCCAAATGCTCAAGTTCAATGAAAGAGTAATGACCTGTGGTAAAAACATTATTATTAAAATTTTTTTGGTCGTATTGTGAAATACTTTGTTTTTGGGGGACATTCAAGCTAATATATGCATGTTGTATTAATATTTTGTATCATTATTCGATTTTCTTATGTCACTTCATCTGAATTATTTTCATGCTGTCAATAAAAGGATGGTTTCAGTGAGAATTGGATACTTTATGTACTTGCAATTATAGATTTGTACCTATTGGAAAAAACATGCACGAGTGAGTTTTTGAAAGGCGAGTGCTATCTTTAGTCTTTGAGAAACTCACGAGCGCTTGTTTTCCTAACTGCACAAGAAACTATGCTATTACTTATTAATATTATGTGGCAAGCGTCATTTCCGGCATAATGGCGCGCTTTGATTGGCTCAGAAACATTTTTGCCGGTCCATTCGACCACGGTCCAAAACGTGTGATTTTTTTTGAAGTCAAATGTAAACAAACTTCGTAAAGCTAACAGCAAAACGCAAAATAAACGAAACAAAAAATCATTTACGAATGTGATTCGAAGGAAAAACACTTGGAAAACTGTTTAACTATCCAGACGATACAATTTGAAGCGATTTATTTTTTATGGACGAAAATTAGAAAAGTAAAAGCCATTCGGTAAAAACGGCAAGGACGAGAAAGAGAGCAAGCTTCGTTTCAGGTCAAAGAATGCCATATAATAAACCTTTTAATAACCTCGCTTCCTCGGTCTTTACTGAGAAATATCTGACCTCTGTCTTTTTGTACAAACCTCGCACTACTGGCTCGGTCTGTACAAAAAAACTTTGGTCCAATATTTCTCCGTAAAGACCTCGCGCTCGGTAAATAATATACATGAAATTAATAATATAAATTTTGTTTTGATGACAGCTAACAGCAACAAGGTACTATCTCATTCTACAATTCACTTTTTTTATTTTAATTCTTTTTTATCTTAATTATTTGCACGCTGTCAACAAAATATGGATGTTGTTTTGCACTCCAACAGACTGAGAATTATAATACTTTTAATTTTAAGAGTCTTCATAGTTTACATTGATATAAATGGATAGTATTAACACTTCCATGTAAAGTATAAAATCCTAAGCTTTAAAATTAAAATGATTTCGACCTGTTTCTATTTAAACTTTTGAGAAGTTCGTCGATCGTCCTGTCAATTTTTTGTCATCTTATTAACTAGCATTTCGTCCGTTCTGCTAAACTTTATGTTGATTGGTTTGTTCTTCACCCTTTTTCTTTCGCTAAGCATAAACAACAACAATTTTGTGACGATTGTACGGATATGAAGTCAAGTTTTTTTTGTATAGTTGAATGTGTAGCGTACTGAGACAATAAGAGAAACGATTCCAGTTCGAGACTAACTTTATTCACGTTAGTGGCAATATTTATAATGCACTCTAAAAACATCCTGGTTAAAAAATCCTGGTTGAATGATTTTCAACCCCAAATATGTTAAGTTAACTCAGAT